CATTCCAGTACAGGGTATACTCGTACAGTAAAAATTTTGTATGTTTTGAAAAGTGTATAACATAAGAACAAAACAAGAACATTTTGAGACTGAAATCATCCAAAAAATAAAAATACTAAGCCTGGGCAAAATTTTACTGGTTCTTATAAAAAAAAAAAGTAGTATTCTACAATCTACAATAATTTTAATTTTCTGTATGTTAGTTTCAAATGTATTTAGTATAGCTTTTCTGTGTTTGTGTGATGATATTGTTTGATTTCTCTCAAGGAGGGGGTATAAAATATACCTCCTTGGTTTATTCACCCCTCAAGTAGACCAGCCTTCACTTGGTCCGCCTCCACTTGCCAATTATCTCGATCATTATCGGCAGGGTAAACGTCCAATAAACTACTACCAGTAGCTTTGTCTATACCGAAGACCAGGACAAATTGCCATATACCCCCCGTTGTGACAAATACCCTCACCGTACAAACTACCACAAATCTACCACAAATCAAGTGATAAACATATATACAGTAGTATTCGTATATGCCAACTACAAGAACCTAGTTTTAAAGATGTATTTCCTATGCAAGATACAATCATAATATTAATTTTTTAAATTCACTTGCTCATTTTGAAGTAACATAAATATGATAAACTTGAACATAGCAATTAGTGTTTTTAAAATGTTTAACCATAACTTTACAGAGAAAAATTATACTTCCAGTTACTGGAAATGTTTTCATTTTATTTTACACATTTTTAAAATTCAATTCTATGCTCATAATAATGTGTATGCTACTGCATACAACATTACGGTATTTGATATAATTTTGTTTTCATTTTCATGGGATAATAGGCTTAGTACGTGTGTTTTAGATAATGAGCCTCAAAGTCATGCTGCTCCGGGGGGAATATCTTTTTCTAAGACATGTCAAAATGGTGTCTGACAAAAAAAAACTCGGTAACGGGAATACAGATTTTTAAATAGGCCTATATAAAAACTGGGGGAAATAGGTAGAAAGAAGGGTGGTTACACACTTTCTCCCCCGTTTTTTAAGTATCTAAAAATCAATATTTCATTAAGAATTTCCAAGACAATGCAAATGTAAATTAACCTGATTCTCATCACTGTAATGCTAAAGAGTAAATGAGCTATTAGTTTATGTTTATGCAATTTTGTCTGGCTTCTTTCAAAATGGTGATGCCTACTTACTGTACTGTAAGTTTTTGGCCACGGCAGTTTGTATCCCACGCAGAGCAATTATCGATAGTAAACTAATGACGACCAAATACAATATCGTATATATTTGTAATTTATAACGTGTAATTAACTTGTTTAGTAATAGTAGAAGTGAGTATGATGTTGATAATATGTTGTTAGATTTTATAAATAATACCGTAGTTGTCCGTACAAACTCAATTAAAGTTTCTGTGATTTTCCAAGAATCTGGGATAAAGTTAGAATGTTGTAAAAGGTCGATGACGAGACGTGACACCTGCTTTACTTTTTTTGGCAATCCCTGTCATTGGTATATAATTTTTCGTGCTACTTGTTGTATAGGCCCTATTTCATATTTTCTCGTTTGTATCTGTATTTGATGTGTATCATTTAATGACGAAATAAAAATTTCAATTTGACCATTTTCACACTTGCATGACTGTTGTTTAGTCCCTGAAATAGTCAAAGGCTCAGTGTCCACCCATTATTAATTAAACTCAACCGGCCATTATTTTAGCACGCGTGGGCATGGGTACTGTTGCGTGCAACATACATTTGCGTTGAGGACAGCTTAGTTTTGCAGAGAATTTTACCAGATATATCAAGAATAATGCATAGGGAACCTTTATGAATGTGGGTGTGTTTACAATTTGGAAAATGTGCCTACTTAGGCCTGTGTATCACCTGTGCTTAATTTTTCTCGTATGACTGCGCAATTAATTACGTCAACTTCTGCAGTCTCGTGAAATGAAACATTCCACATTAATATTCGTTGGCACGCAGACACATGGCGCAAAACAAAGGGATGCGCCATCAGTATTGATTCGGATGGCATGACTAAAGGGCCTAGCCTATATCAATTCACACACATACCATGAACCTGCTTGCTAAACGCGTTACATGAAGGCGACGAGAACAAAGAAAAAATTGGGAGGACTCTTTTTAACTTTCTGTTTATTCGATACGGTACTTTGATATTCCAACTACTGTAATGCCGCTTTCTTTTTACTGTACTTTCTCCCGAATCCTGGCAGGGTTCTCGGTAGAAGCTTTTAAGAAAGTGGTAATGCCTTACCTTCTACATGGCTGTCGTACTGGTTTTACTTTCTGTTTGGTCATGCTTGATCTTCAAACCTGAAGCCCCTGTGTAGGAGTGTACGTCGGTACAAAAGAAAACTCGTTTACAGATCGTGGGCCTATGGTCTGTATCACTGAGCTTGAGACTCGAATATAGTTTTGGCAAATTCTTCCTAATTTATATTCTAACCACGGCTATAGTCTAGGCCTATTAGTAGGCCTACTTAGATTTATATCGAAAATCTGCAATTGTTTTTTTTTTACTGTGTATTGTGTTTCTTTGTGCGGATATTGGCCCTTGATGGCTCTTGTAGCAATATATAAACATTGATACGATAAAAAAAATCGTACACAGTTGACGTATTATACGAACATTATTTTATTTGGCACGAATATTTCGTCCTATCCTCAGGACTTTCTGAACGTGAATGAGACAATATTAGAAATAATGACTGGGTGAAACAATAGATAAATAGTTTATGTTACATAATAGGAGACTGCATGTATACATATATACAGGCCTATTATATATAGGCTATATATTATATAGGCCTATATATATATATATATATTTATATTTATATATATATATAACAATGTTATAATCAAGCAAAAAAAGTCCTAATTTCCAGAAAATTGATCATTGTTTTCGTTGAATCTATGCTTCCTACAAATAATATCGAAAGAAGACACTTTCAAAAGCAGTGAATACAAATGTAAATCTTCTTTTTCGCAGTGGGTATTGCATAAGATGCTTTTATCCAATAAAGACCGTGATACCACCATCATTCGTGGGTGTTACAAAAATAAAGGGGGGTGTTGTTAGCTATAAAACTATACTACATTGTATTTGTAAGGCCAGGTGATTAAGCTTGTAACTTTTAATACCACACGTTTGAATTGATTTACCATCGTCAGATTTACCAATATCCTACGTACGTACACGCATAAACCCACGTATTCACGCGTAAACCAACCTATATAATGCAGGCCAATCCCCCGCGTCTTTCGAGTGAGTTTGACATTAGACCGAAGGCTTACGGTACCGTACATCTTTTCTATTCTCGTAATTACAATGGGCAACAGGCACTCTGAAAACTAATATAAAATCGCAAGTTGTCGCATATCATTTGGTGAAATGCAACTCGCACGCGTGTTCGAAACTCACCTCACGCTGTATTTCGTTGGTCACATATCAAAGGTGCCAGATTGTATTTGCTGAAACGGCGCCAAAAGGAGTATGATTGGTTGCAAATTTAGGAACTAATGTTTATAAATACAGATATCATCGATAAGTAAACGTAGACAGATAGCATCGAGTATCGATGATGTGATGTACGGAAAATATGCCTATACTATTATGAACCTGAAAGATATACAGTACAATAGGCCTATCTTAAATAAGCTGACTTAGTACGCATGAAGGAATTTACAAATGACTATTAATAATAGTTTCTTTGGTAGGCTTACACCGAAATCACCAAGTGGAAAATTTTCCATGACAATGCGAACGAATTTGCTACTGAGATATCAAACTTCTCATGTAGGTCTATTCGGGATTTGTGGTGGGTTTCGCTCCTGGGACAGTTGATTTTCCTTATGCCCCGACGATCACACCGATATGAAACATTTTTTACTTCGAGGGTTGTTCCCATGTCCGAGCCGCCGACGACGGAGACAACTTAGCTGACTCCACGAGCACTCTAGTTTTAGGGGAAATAAATCATTTGCTCTTAAAGGAATATTCTAGGTCAATGCTTTGACATGTTAAAATAATTATAGATTTACCGTATTGTTACGGTACTGGCTCAAGTTTTACTTTAAATATAATATATCTCTTGAGATAAATAAAACTTGGAAAAAGTCCTAGGCCTATTTTGATTTGTCCTTTTGATTTAAGAGTTTCTGCCGTAAAAAATTATGTAAAAAAAAATTAATTGTTTCCATTTAACTTATCTGAACATTATAAGTGAGAAATTAATTAATATTTTAAGCGATTTTAGAAGGGGTTTTCCAGATGTTTTAACCATACAATATAGGTCTATCTTTCAACATGTCGTCATAAAAACGACTGCTTGAATGAAATTTAAAGATCGGGTATAATGACCTTAGTAATTATACCGTACCAAATGTTAAATTATATGACAAAATACAAGATTAAATGCTCCTTGTGCGCCATTTTCATCGTAAATGTTTTATTAACCCAGAATTTATAGAAATGATATCTGGGCAATATTTAATTAACGTGATTTATTATTTTGATTCAGACACGGATGCATAATGAACGTGGTTGAAGCATAGGCCTATCTATCTGATAATACAGATTTGTCTTTAAGCCTATTTATCGTTATTAATAACACAACCCTGGGAATTTAATTGCTGATACGCGTAGGCCTACACTCTAATGCCTATTCATAAAATAACCATATCTACTTGTTTCAGGGTAGTGAAAAAAGTAAGGAAAATCATACTGTGGATGATAGTCGATTGCTAAATTTGGGGTTTCGACGACGAGGATGAACAAAGAGGTTACTACCTGTACTTTGTTCTAAGTTTTCTCAGAGGTACACTTTAGGGCCTCTGAAACACGCTTTGTTCACTATGTCACGTGATGAGCAACAGTAGACGTCGTCATTGACGACGCGAAAGCCGGATTCTGATTCGTTGATATTTTATCAACAGCTGGTAGGGCCCTTCCATTAATAAGCATTGGGTCCTGTGTTCGCGTGCTGGCCACGCGCCGGGTTATTGTTCCATTGTTTGCAGGGAGATTATCTGACTTGATAGATTGGTTTCTGTCTCAGTTTCTGGCTTGTCTCTGCATGGAGTGTGTCTCTTTTTAGTCTGTCGGGTACCGAGAATAATGGTTGCTAGTAAAAGTACCGTTTCTTCTACGCTTCCTTCGGCCGCACCTAAATTAAGGACTTTGGGCCTGGAAATGTGGGCTCCGATACTTTATCATCTCAAGCATCGGTAAGATAATTTATAGGATCGTCTCGATATTTCTATGGTTTGGCAAAATTCTTATTTTCTGGAGAAGGAAATGGAATTATATACTGCTACTACAAGCCTATTGTTTTGATTCAAATAATTTTAGCCTGGCAAAACTGTGTTTAATATTTAGATACTGGTATTTTCTATCTTGTTGTTAATTTCTTTACATGACATTTTAGGCCGAGGGCCCTAGGCCTATTTAGTTTGCTCTTTACGTAGATTATATTATACATTTTCATTTTTCATTCTTCAAGGCCTAAAGGCCTAGTATATAGCCTTATATATAAAACATGCTTAATGCTACGTACTTTTAAAGAGGTTTATCAATTAATCATTAATAAATATTGTAGTAGGCTTATATTGTAGTATAGTTAGGCTCTCATAATGTTATGGACATTTCTGTATATTGTGGTGCATTCTCTCCTAGTTTTATTTCATATTGTTTCGTAATTTTTTATTCAACAATATGCAATATTAAAATGTTTGAGAAGTGCAATAAGGCTTAATTGCACTTCTTTTAATTATTATTTTTATTTAGTATTATTATTGTGGTTACGGTATTTGTTAACATTATTATTATTATTATCATTATTATTATTATTATTATTATCCATATATAGGCCTATAATTTATTATTATTTTATTATAATAATTATTAATATTATTATTACTTACCGGTATTTTTATATATAATTTATTATTATTACCGTATTTTATTATAAATAATGTTAATTTTATTAATAATATAAAAGGTATACTAATTTTAAATCACTATGCACTTCAGTTTGAAATATTAATTGACATTTGAATCGATCATTTAAAAGAAAAAAATTAATGTAATTTGTATTCTTATTATTTTTTTGCAGTTATTCGAGGCAAATTTTAACCAGAAAATCATGCGACTTCTGTGGCAAATCGATGTACATCGTTGGTCTGCGATGCAAGCAGTGCAAGTGAGTATATTGTACAGTACGATGCTCACACCTATAGTATCAACAAAAATATTATAGTTTAATAGTGTATCCTGTTATCAGTGGCGGATCCAGGAATGCAAAATAGAGGGGGCCCGGGGAGGTACTTTCACAAATTCAGGAACTACCGTGTACCACCAAAATTTGTGATTATGGCGCCTCTAGATAGCCGGAAATTACACTCTCAGACTTTAAAAAATTGAATATAATTTTCTTCACATCTCCATTTTTAAAATTTTGAACAATTTAAGGAGGCCCGGGCCGGCTGGACAGTCTTGAACCCGCCACTAATTATATACAGCCCTATAGTTATTTAAATACACTATTAGACCTAGTCTGTAGTATTTTTCTAACGACCTACCCAATTTTTGAATTTTCCAAAAACGTGGCCAACACAATTTTCTTGGCCTAATATATAATCGTAGTTCTTTCTATTTTTGAACCGGGTACTATCACCAACTTGGTGATTATCATGTCGTGAGGTATTAAATCCTAATTAGAAATTTATCTAGTCATGGAGCTGAGGAATTCAACTCCCGCTACTACAAAGGATAATTAAACGCTGTTTTGTTATGGGCCGAAAAGAAATTTGATATAAATACTTCTATTCAAGATTCTTGTCTTTCTTTCGTACATGATTGGAGTCGCCTGTTGCTTGAACTATACTTTAACAAACATCTGTATTGGAAATATGCTTCAACATCAAGCGGGTGAGATAATGAGCCAACACCAATGGCATCGCTCATCACGCTTTCGAGTAGTCCTTATATTGCTTTGCAACAATGATGTGTTTTATCATGGAGTGTGCTTTTTTAGATTGAAACATAGCCCTGTGACTATTTATGCCTTGTCGTTGAAGGACGTCGTATTCTAAATGAATTAGAACACAAAATATGTTCCCCACAACGACCAAAACAATGAAAACAATTGTTTTTTTCTTACAGCTTAAAGTGCCACCGAAAATGTGCCATGACAGCACCCCCACAGTGCCTACTCACGGTTGATGGACACTCATTCACAAGTAAGTAGGCCTCCACGCTCTGTCTTTGTTTGAAAACTGACTCAATAAATGAACCCTCCCAGCCGCTGTTGTAATACTAAGGGCGTTCCAGGGTTTTCATATTCTTTGCGTAAACTTGTATATAGGGCCTAATTGGTACGCATAATTTGTTTGAAAATTCGTATCGTATAAAAAAAAGTCGCCTCGAACTTATGACAAAGCCTCAATTAATAGATTCCCTAATAGTTCATTTCATTGATTATTATTTTCTATTCCTGTTAATTTAAATATTGTTTTTCATAATAGACTTAAGAGGTAGAAGAACAACATCTCACAACCACCAGCAGTTAGATAAGCATGAACAGCCGCAAACATTTTGTACTTGTGTACAGAAGCCAAGACCAATTCTACATCGTCAACATTCAGTAACCATCCAAGACGCTGTAATCTCACCCTCGGTCGTTACATCTCCCTGTTCGTGTATTACACCATCTGGTGCCAGCACTTCAACACCATTATGTAGCGAGGCACCTGCGTTTAACTTTAACTTTAGCTCGATGCCTTCCTCACCGAGTGGAACACAATCGTCTCAGACGTCATCCAGCTCATGTGGATACTACTCCCTAGGGTCAGAATGCAACGTATCTACGGTGGATTCATCTAATGGTATTACTTCTTGTACGTGTGGTTGTCAGAAAATTTCAAACCCACTCTCTCAATCTGACAGGAGGACAAGATGGTGTGGCGGAAAGGCACGCACGATCGATGTCACATCCCGCACAAATGTAACCCATGACGACAGTGAAGAAATGAGAACCTCCCTCATCTCAACGTGGCCTAGGGATTTCTTTAGTCATCCACACCAATCTAATGGCAAGTTTTTGATATGTATTTTTAATGTTATTTGAACTATATAAAGGAGATAACCCTTCCAGTCTAACCCGTGGGCCAGTCGATAACAATACTTTTAGGGGCTTCAGATAAAAGTGTGTTAGTGAGGTGAGAACTACTACTGCTAACCGGTATCTGAGGTATAATAAGGAATCTTTGGTGCCACAGTCGTTGGATTGTAAATTTGTTTTGGCCTAAGCCCTAAACTCACATCAAAGGATGAGGTAACTTTGAGAAAATTAGAGAACAAAACGCTTAACGAGCGTGCAAACAAAACTAAAGTACCGTAAATCCGAAAGACAATACCCCCCGACTTCTGACGTGATTCTACTAATTGAAAGAAAAAGGAACTTAACGGTTTATGTATTTAATTCCACCTGCTGCATTCATAATACACCTGGCCGAAAAAAAAAACAACGTTTACCTTTCCAAAAGACCAGGTGTTCTTCAGTTGGCTGTTCGATGTACAGGAATTTGGTTACGAACCGTTCTAAATTCATGTTTGTGTCCATTCGCCTAATTTAACGTTGAGTAAATATCTTGCTAAAGAGACAATAGCCAGGCGAAACACCGTAAAACACCGTAAAAGTGCTCACTCATCAAGAAAGCACGACAGTTTTAAGCGAAACTCTCACTCTCAGCATTGTTGTGAAATGTACGAGTTTTCATTGCGCTGTTGTGGTGTACGGTACCGTATATGCCTATATTTAAATTAGTGTAAATGAGCTACCTCGTAACATAATCTGGGTAAAGCTACAAAGTACCGGTAGCTTATGATATCCAATCCATGAAAGCCTGCGTGCTGCGTTTGAGATATTTTCTTTGTAGAACAATTATATATTGTCCTAATCAATTAATTGTCCTAATTACTGTCACGAAAACAAGATACCAAATCCAGTAAAATTATATACATTAAATTTAGAGTCTTTAATTCATACAGGAATCGTGCTAATTTTAACCATCATTTTAATAAGAATTATTATTTGTGTATTGTAGAGGATGTGCCAAATTCGATAGAAGACGCACAGCGAATATGCGACTGGATGAAAATTCAAACTGCCACAAATTCAAGGTAATTTCTATTGTTTCATTAACAAACAAACGATTTAATAAGCACGTAAAACTTAAGCTTATGTATTGTAAATATGACCATGATTTGACCCTTCCCACCTCCTACAAAATGTTGTTATAATAACCAAATACTGCACTTAGCCCTAATCGGTTTATGACTTTTGCCAACCAGCAAAGTGCAGACGGTATTAAATTTAATAATGTTTACTTATGCGGGGGCGGTATTCAGTGTTCCTTGTGTGTGCCCCTTATGCCTGTTGAATTTATGGATGATGTATTACTGCAGTGAGTGGTCCACCATATGGTCCCACAGTATGTCCTATATTGAAACATTTGTCTCACGTTATTAATTTTAGCGAAAGGTCGGTGCGTGAAGCTGTAAGGGAGTGGTCGATACCATTCGAGAACCTCAAGTTCGGAAAATGCATTCGTCGTGGGACTTACTCTACAGAATACAGGTGAGAAACACATACGACAAGAGTATTAATATATATTTTTTTAAGTTTAAAAGGGTATAGGTAAATTTCAAGATTGTTAATACAGACATGTTTCACAGTGGCAGCCATTATTATCATCATCATTATCATCAGTATGAGGAAAAAGACCAATGCTGACTCAGCTATAATACAGAGGAAGGAATTATAATACAGGTGAATTGGCTTTGACCCAATGATAGGAAAGGTATACCGGTATCTAATGTGTCCAGAGTACAATTGAGATCGTATCGTAGTTGGTAATTAGTGTTATTAAAGTTGTATAGCCCTAATATATAATATATCATTTATAACCTCAGGGGACAGTGGCATGGTGATGTCATCATCCATACAAGAGATGTCCAAGAGGAGGAAGACTTCTTGGAAGAGGTGTCCATGTTGAGCATGATACGACACGAGAACATCGCTCTCTTTATGGGAGCGTGTATTGATGCACCCAACTTCTGCGTGGTCACTAGGTA